AATAAAGATAAATAAATAAATTAGGAAATATTCTAGAGCAACATTAACACGAAAAGTACAGTGCTAAACAATAACAAAGATAGTAATACAAGAATTATTCTAGAATGGACAATATTTCAAGAGTAAATGCTAATGAAAATTGGACAAGGGGTAGTGATGATCTTGGGCGAAGATCAAGTGTAACACTATATAAAATAATTATTATATATTTATGTGACTAGATATTTAAATTATTTTTAAGTAACTAAATATTATTCAAAATTTTAATATGAATTTTAAAATTTTTTACTATATTTCTTAGATAATACTAAAATTATAAATACTATAAATGAATTAATTTATTTAAGTTTTACATTAAGTTTTATTTGAAAAAGAAAGATAGATATTATTTTAATAAAATTATAATTTTATCTTATCAAATTTAAAATAAAAATTCAGAAAATATAATAATTGTTTTATTTGTTTTTTTTTTAAAAAAAAACTTTATACGATTTTTTAATTTAATTTTTTTTAATTTAATTTTATTAGTAAATTATAAAAAAAATAAATTTATCAGCTCTAATTTATTATCAACAATAACAATTTTAAAAATTAAAATACCTGTGAAAAAAAAAGTTTTTTTTGTTTGATTTTAATTGTATATAAAAATTTGATTTTCATTTGATTTTAGTTGTATATAAAAATTTATTTAATTGGATTTTAGCTGTATAAAAAATATTATTTAATTGGATTTTAGTTGTATATAAAAATATTATTTAATTGGATTTTAGTTGTATATAAAGATTTAATTTATATTTTATATTTTAGTTGTATATAAAAATTAATTTACATTTGATTTTAGTTGTATATAAAAATTTAATTTATATTTTATATTTTAGTTATATATAAAAAATTTTTTAATTGGATTTTAGCTGTATATAAAAATTTATTTAATTTTATTTTAGCTATATAAAAATTTTTATTTAATTTGATTATATAGAATCCATAAAATAAAAATTTTTGACGAAAACATTTCTTAGGATCAATTTTCATTGTCCCCAAAACATTGATCTTATAAAAGAAAATTTGAAGAATTATTTTTTCATGGTAACCATGATAATGATCTTGAAGTTTTTAATTTTTAATTTGAGATATTTTATTTATTTATTAATTTGATGCGACGGATTTTGAGTACAGTAATCATTAAATAACAAATGCACGACGCATTATATATGAATTACCGGTACGTGCTTTATTAAGAACAATAAATAGCCTATATACAGTACCTTCTTTCACAGTATTATCGAATAAAAAAGAACCAGTCGGCATTTCCTTATATTATCTTCAAATATGCAACTACCCGGTAATTCATTCTTCCCCTTGCATTATTATCCCGTGTCCCACGAGCCATTGTTTAACTACAGCTTGCGGAACAAACTGTTTTTGTTTTTCATTCAGACTCCAGGAATCCTTATATGCTATTGTGTCATTAATCGACGGGAGTAACGCAAAATGGTTATCAGCAGTCGGTATGCATATTTAGTAAATAAGGACGATTGATGTATACAGTAGCGCGTATTGGAATTGGAATTCATCCGAATTCCTCAAAATAAGGATTGTATTTTTTTTTTTTTTTTTGCTGCGCCAGAATTACCGAAAAAGTATGACTTATTCCAAATGAGATTAGTTGTACGACCAATCTATTTTAAATTCACGTGAATGCGAATTCAACTAATACAAAAAAAACACTTGGCACAAAAAAGAATCGCACCGAGGACAAAACGAGGATTTCTTATCGAACCGGACCCAGGTATCTCCCACTTGCATTGACTCGTAATTTTTTAAGAACATTCATTTTCTCCAATTAAACCACCACTTGTTCGTTTATATAAGGCAAAGATCTTTTATTGATGCGACCGTACCGTATTAAAACCGGTAAAACGATAATTTGTTACGTTTTTGAAGAATTTTGATTCGTTTGTCAATTGCTTTAGAGCGATCTTTTTTGGATTTTCTCACGGAGTTTTTTACGCACAATACAAGAAAAAAATTTTTCTAGATCTAGGGTTTGATTATCACGTTCACAGTAGTTATTTAAAGTTAACCGGCGAATTTTACACATGCGAAAGAAATAAATAATCAAATAATAAATCTTTTTGACCGAATAAAAATTTTGGAATTCGAAACCCATGACTTATTTTATCAGCAAGAACGTTCTTTAGTTTTTTTTTTTTAAGAATGACGATCTAGGTTCGAGGTCCTATTTTATTGGCGACATACGCATATCTGCATAGTTTAACGTTAGCTATTTATCCGTTAGTTTTTCAACAGGTTTTCCAGTCCTTTCCTTACACATGAAAATCATCTCCCAAAGGAATACGTAAGTGCTAAAACCAATAGGGGTAAAATCCTTTTAAGTAGGAATTATTCAAAAATGAGCACGCGCAATTCACAGTGGTTCATGATTCACGCTTTCAATATCATTTATCCATATTTAACGGTCCGAATATTCTCTTTTCTATATATATACACAGTAAATTATTTTTTTTTTTTTTGCACTTCAGTGTCGACTGCTATCTTGACAAGGAATTGCTTACTCACTTACCCTTATTTCGAGCATCTCATTTTTTTTTCCATATAAATAATGGATTCTCAAGAAGACATCTATAACGAATTCCGGCGAATTTCGAAGCAAACATATACACATGAATCCTCTCATCTCGAGGACTTGTGGTCAATCCCGATCAAGAATCATCTCGTTGGTGACAACGAATATAAAATCGAGGTCGATAAGTGTCACCTGCGGCATATGTCGTTTATTTTTCGAGCTGCCTTTGACGTTGTTCTCACCCTCTTGACCGATTGGACCTTACCTTTCAAGCATCCTCTTTATTGGTTGTACTTGGTTTCCGTGTATCCCGTGGTATTATACATTTTATTTGTTGCAGAGGTGGTCTCGTTCATAGTGGACAAATTTAAACTTAAGTTTGTCAAGACCTCTGTTCACGAGAGATGGTCGAAATATACCGCTCCCGAGCTTCTTTGTAAGCGCCCTCTCCTTCCTCTGATTGTTTCCCAAAACATTTGATGCTAATTGATTTATTCATTACGCGCGCACACTCCTTCCTAGTCGACGCGGATTTTTATCAAAAGGAAGAAAACAGGAGTATTGTCGATGAAGGTGTCGGTGCGTTGGATAAGCCATACCAAGAAGCCGAAAAAAGTGATGAACACGTTCAACACTTCAATCTCGACATCGCCCAGTTTCTTCTGTTCGTGTCCGACGTCATATACTACCGTTCCCCGGAGAAGATTATGGAGGCCAAGAAAAAGATCGACATGATAAAGCATCACCCTGAAAAGCAAGAGGAGTTGTTACGTGAAACTGTTGGCTTGTTAAACGAAAGTGACGAGATTATCAAGGCCCAGGCAAAGAAATGGAAGTTGAAATTCATCTCAGTTTCGGAGCTTAACACTTTGGGTGAATCACATGCTGGAATCTTCTATTCCGAAAGGCATGATTTCGTTGTGGTCGCATTCAAGGGCCCAACCATTGACAAATTGGAATCCTTCGTGCACAGCCTGTTGTTCCAACACGCTGATGGTCGACCCATTGTTGGCTTTGAAGCATACAACGGTTACCGTAGCATGTTACACCCGGAAACCGAGAAACCGGGTCCATACGTTACGATCGTTGAAGCTATTCAAAATGCTGTCCGCGTCATTCGAGAAAACAAGCCGAAAAAGAATAAAATCAACATTTGGTTCACTGGGCATTCATTGGGAGGAACTTTGGCCACAACGTTCTACACACGTTGTTTAAAATCACCATCCGATCTGGGCGAACATTGTGTGATTCGAGATGCTTACGTCTTTGGGAATCCATGCGTTGGGGACTCCGAGTTGGCCTCAACCTACGTTTCATCGTTGAACAAGCAAAGTGACGTTGTGAGCACTTTATGGCGTGTCGTGAGCGACAAAGATATCATGACTAGTTTACCATTTGGATTTTATCATCCTGGAGGTGTCGGAAAATATAATGTGTTGGATAACGTTCATATTGGTGAAGCAGTCAAGTTCTATCAAGACGCAAAGAAACGACCGGTGCTCGTCAAAAATCCACTTATTCCCAAGAAGAATCCAGCTCCCACAATCACGAGCTCTAAACCGAGGGAAGATCAACGCCTTGAAATTACAATTCACTCATTTGACCACAAATTACCATCCTTCATTAGGGATCACACGACTTCCAGATATTTAATGGGAATGTCAATTGCCAGAAATCATTTAGTGGATTCCGTTAAAGGTTCGACCGAATCAAAAGGATATCGTGGTGAAATCGCCTTGGCATATGAGAGCTAAAGAAGAGTTTTAATAAATCCAAACAAGAGAAAGTTTCTCTGGTTAATTTATTATAATCATAATTGAATAATAATAAAAAGAATTCTCACGGGAATTTTTGCTGCACACAAGAAAGTTCATGTAAAGAGAAATTGATAAATGAAAAAAATTAAAATGTTGAACATGCAATTGTAAAAAAATGATTATCATAATATTTTATATTTCGTTAAAATCATAATAACGTACGGCACGTGAGAAATAACACATTGATTTTTCATTAAGACCCTGCATATTAATTTATTAATATTCCATTAATACTGCCTGTATCAATTTCATAGATCCATATATCCATTCCGCCGTATTCTATCAATCACGAATTATATACATCGTCACTTTGGGTAGTAAGTTCCTTATTATTTTTATTAGGTAATAATTTTTGGTGTAATTGATAGGTGATTTGTTTTGGATTTCATGTATCAAATAATTTACTCGGAAAAACAGTAATCACGTGCATCAAGCGCGATCGACAAAAATAAAATTCAAGTGCATGTATAAGGTTCCAGAGTCGTCAATTACTATCATCAATTACTATCATCAATTACTATCATCAATTACTATCGTCAATTACAGTACTTGATTCTCTCTTATGCTCAGAACTTCAGTCAGAAGATATAATTCGGGACCAAATACTCTTTGATCTTTGCAGTCCAAAGCATAAACCTGTTTCACATTGACCTTTGTTTTACAGTGAAAAAGAAACACTTTGCGTAGAACATATCTTCATTTCCGGAATTGGCAAGGATTTCCATCCGCAAATTGTCTAGAAACCTCAGTTAGAACATTAAATAAATTACATTCTGTCACATGCAAATTTAATTTTCCTTTTACTTTCAGCAAACAACGAATTGATCTTGGGGCTTATTTATGGTGGCGCCTGTGATAGGCTGTGCATGTTTTCCGTGACGGTGGAAGCGAAGTCATTGGTCTCTCTTCATTCGCTTGTCGGAATGTCAAATGCAACAATGGACAAATCGAAAAATTTTTTGGAAAGGGAAATTACCGTAAACAGCATGTGAGACACCAATGTGGTGATTCCCTTGTTACAGTAAATAAAAAATCTTGTGCTTTCTATTTTTAGAAACTTCTTCTAGCGGAAGCACACAAACAGTGCAATTTTGTCTGTCCCATGAATATCAGAAACAAATTAGGCATCGATTGTTTTATTAAACTGTCCGACAAAAATAAAAGGTTCGATTAAGGCGTGATAATCTGAATGTTTTGTTTTACGCAATCCGACCAACTAGATTTCACCAATAAAAAATATAAATTGTTTGGATTTCTCTACTTTATCGGGATTTTCACGACCTCATCTGTATATTTCCTTTCTCTATAACGAAACGCGCAAAAATTCAGATTTGATTATAATGGCTCGTTTTCCGAATTTAATAAAAGTCTCGAATCTGATAGTTTATCTCTTTCTGGCGGTTCTTGTTTCTGAACCGGTACGTAGAAAGCACTCACCCGTTGATGGTTGAGACTCAAAGTTTGAAGTCACCTTGTTTTCCATCCGCTGGTTTGGAGGAGCAACGAACATGGTTCTCGTTGCCTTACCAATTTTTCAAGCGGATGAAATCCTCAAGATTTATTTTGTGTACAATGAAATGATTATTTATTATTATTATTTTCGTTCGGATCATTGGAACAGGAATTCAGATTTGAAGCTCATGACACCATTATACATCCTTATTCTTACGTCTTTTACATTTGGAATATTATACATTGGTTGTTAAGTATATTTCGTGAGTAATCGTGTTTCCTTTTTCTCATCTTTCCTGAGGCGACAAGAGACGAGACGAGACTAATCGAAGCAATATCTTCCTTTTGATTCTCGATAGTCATCTATCAATTCATCGACACCGCCAACGAAATAATTGTTGATGGGATCGGTTGGCACTTTGTTGGTGTTGCAATATTCAATGTCATATGGCTGGTGCTTGTGGTAATTACCCGTTACGAAAATGTCCTTACTTATTTTCCCATACGAATTTTTCAATTAATTTCATCATCTTCATAAAGGTTAACGAGGAGTTGGTTTTAGCATGGATCACGATATTAATCGTCGCCGCTCAACTTTCTTACATTTATTACAACTTAAAATTCAAATATCCACCACTCAGTCGTTTTGACGCGACATTCATTCATCTTCCGTTTAGCCTTTATCACGCATGGATCATGATAATTTTAACAATAAGTACATTTGTCGCATTCATCCCTGATAAGGAAAAAGGAAGAAGTTCTGGTGTCCTCGAGGAAATACTTGGGGTGTTGGCATTGTGTTTCTTGGAAACAGCGGCGATTGGTTATATCGAAAAATCAAAGGGCGACCTCGCCAGCGCAAGCGTGATTGCGATAACTTTATATGGCATCTCATTTCAACAGGATGATGATGCAATCATTCATTGGGTTGCGCTGGTGTTCGCCGTCGTCAGTTCAGTTCACATTTTGAAGACTTATCTCGTAAAACGCCTACGCGAAAGACAAGAAGAACATACTCCTCTATTGGTATGAATTATTGGCGAAAGGAAACGGATGGATGAGAATCTATTCTAAGGACAAACAAGAGCTGTTGAGGAATGCATCAATCAAAAGATGAAAAGTTTCCGGAATCTGTGACTACCAAAGATTATACATAGTATCTATTGGGACAGTAATTGACGAGAGCACTTTTCACCTGTTCGCCGTAGCTTACTGATTCCAAACATTATCCTGTCACGATCTTTCAAGTCGTTCCGAACAGCACCTTATTTCATATTTCATTCCCGATTTCCAATTTCGTCGAATATCACCGAGCATTATTTTCTTTGCTATTGTATATAATATCTACATTTACTAGGCATACCACACATTTATTAGAAAAATTGGATATTAGTTATATTATACATATATATAGTTACATTTAGAAATAATATCATTCTCCGGTCATATAGTCGTATATGTTATAGATGCTAGATTGGCTAGGGATTTCTCTTGCTTGGGTTGAAGGAACGGTTAGGAATTTTCCCATTTGCATTTAACCTAGTATGGAAAATACCCTTTTCCGGTTCAAAAAAATTTTTTTTTGTTTATTTTAACACTCCTCTTCTATTCGGTGATCTTGAATAACTGGATCTATCGTTTAGCCTAAATTCATGATGAGTCTAACCTTTTTAGCAAATCATGAAACCATTTTTGAGGGATATATCAATAACATGATGACCATGAACCTTGAACTGGCATGGCTGTGTACATTGTTTTGCTTGGGAGATGAGTGTGGGAAGTTTTTTTTTTTTTTCATCTCGGCTGGTTTATGCGAGAATTCCAACATTCACAGTATACACATGTCCTCACCCCTTTCTTTATGGAAGTGATAGTACGTAGGCGCGCGCATTCGCAATCCGTATTTTTTTTTTTCTTAGAGCAAAATTTACGCAAAAGCCATCAAAATAATAAATATTTTCAAAAAAAAAAGTCATTTACATCGATATCGAAACAATCTAGATCTTATTAAAATGAACAAATATAGATAATAGTATGTAGATACTGTATATATACAAACGACCAAGCCATCCGATATGAAATAAATCAAATACGTGTACGGGTCATGATTTAAGAATTTTAGTTTTATAATTGTAACCATCCCAATATTTTTTTTTCGAAAAGAATTGAATAAAAAATTGTTTATCTACATACCGTATGTTTGAAAATATAAAGATCAAGGTTATTCAACAACTTTTTATACAGTATAATGTGCTATTAAAATATTGTTAAAATTTCGAGTTTTAAAAACTTATAAAATATTGGTAATAAAAAAAATAAATACATAAAATTACGTATTTTACATGATACAATGATTTCATTGATAGGCAGGAAATTATTAAATTTTTTATTCAAAAAATTTTTTAAAATTAATTTCATGAAATAAAAAAAATATTTAACAATTTTAATTATAAGATTTTGTATATTGTAAATTAAAATAAATATATGTAATTAGAACTAAAGCTAAATCAAATGAATTATAAAATTTATAAAAAAAAAAGTTATATCTTTAAGAAAACCCTTATATAGATTTGTTGTTTTATTCTCTAGCTCTTTATAACTTGTATATATAGCTTTTGTTAATATGAATAATAAAATATAAATAATATTATTTGTTGTTATAGTTATTACTATTATTTTTTTATAAATAAATATTATTTCTTTATTTATTAATATATTACCTGATATATATTTTAAAGAAATAATATTTCTTGAATATAAAATATACAATGAATTAAATATTAGCTTATATATTGATATTTTAAATAATTAATATTAAAAATAAAATTTTAAAACAATATTAATATTAAATATAAGTCAAGTAGTGGCTATATCTATCTGCTTAAAAAAAAGGTTTAATATATAAAAAAAATTAAAAAAAAAATAAAAATAATTAAAATCTAAAACAAATATTCAAAACAACAAATTAAATAAGCATTATATTTTTAAACTTATTCTTTAAATTGTAAAACAAAATTAAATAAATTATTAAATTTACAAAAAAAAAATTATATTTTCAAAAAATTCTTGATTAGACTTGTTGTTCTGTCTCTTTAATTTTTTGTAATTTGTAAGTATAATTTTTTTGTTAATATGAATAATAAAGTATATTTGATTTGATTTATTATTATAATTGTTGTTATTATATTATATTAATATAATTGATAATTGATAAAATAATTGGTCTATTAATCAATAATGTAATTTTGTTTTAGTTATTATTATTAAAATTAATTTTGTTTATGTTAATTATTGTATAATGTTTTTGTTTTTTTTTTTGCAAATAAGTATAATATGCATAATTTTTATTAAATTTGAATTTATAACCAATATATAAACAATCTTTATATTGAATAAATTAATTGTAGTTTGTTGTAACAAATTAGTAAAACCAATTATATATTATATAATTGAATAAATATTACTGATATTAAATGGCTTATACTTATTTAAAACAAAAATATTTATATTCTAAAATATCTATAATGATATCAAATATATTTTTATTGTTTTTTAATTAAAAATAAAAATTAATTTTTTTTTTTTTTTATTTTATTTTAGCTAAAAATGAAATATTGGCAATTTTAAATTTTGTAAAGAATTTTTAATAATTTGTTTGAAATACTATCCTTAATTCATTAATGCTTTCAAAAAAAAATTAATAACTGCCAAGAGCCAGTTGAAAAATGTGATAGCTAGTAATAATAGCTGTATTAATTAGTTTAATAAAAGAATTAAGTATTGAGGTATAGTTATATCAACTTTGTTAAATCAGAACAATAAGTTTTGACTTTTTTTTATAAAATATTTTTTGTATAATTTAAATCTTTTAGAAAACTGGTTTGTTAGAAGTTTGATCTAAAAGGTAAAAAGAAATCTATATTTAATTAGGTTTTTTTTTTAAGTTTTTTGTTTATTTTAATAATATTTTTGAACTAATTAAAGAATGTGGATTTATATGTTACTAATTAGCTGAGTGCAATGTTATAAAATTTTAAATATAGGTTTGCAAATTTAATTTGATAAATTATACTTATTGCATTAGTATTATTGATAAGTGATAAAGAAAAAAATAATAAGAATAATATTGTAGATAAAATTAGAATAAGTAATAAGTAAGATATTAATTTGATTATAAGTTTAATTTTGTTCTAAGTGATAATTAAATTTTTGACAATAGTTTTCTTGTAATAAATTTAAAAAAAAAACATTTTAATTTATTTATTAATATATTTAAAAATATGAAGGTCCAGTTTAATTTAAGTGTTAAATAATATTTGAAAAAGATTAAATTATTAATTAAAAAGTAAATAATAGTACAGAAGTAAGAATAAAAATTAGTTCATTGTTAAAGAGGTTATATATTATAATTTATATTAATTTAAATTAATTTAATTATTTGCTTTTTATATATAGTTGTATTGGACAAAAGCAAGTTGTAATATGTTTATTGCTTGAATTTAAAACAAAATATTTTTTAGATATTAATTATTTTATTATGGTATTACATTTAGTTTTAATAAAATTTAAGTTATTGTTTTTCAAAAAGCTTCAAAATCTTGGATTTGAATTTGATAGAAATAAAATATTATTCAGAACTGATAGTAATATATTTGTAAAATTAGTAAATCAATATGGTATAAAAATTTTGATAATAAAATTCTTATAAGTATAAAGTTTTTTTTATATAAGCTTAAAGAAGTTATTGAAAATAAAAATGTTATAAAAAGTTTAATATCAAAGAAGTAAAGAAAAAGAATTGTTTTTTTGTTAAACTTTATTATTTGACTAATTGAATGTTTATAATTTGACTTGTTAAATGAACAAGAGTTTAAGCAAATATTAATATAATATTTAATAGTAATTTCAATTACTTGAAGTTTTTAAACAAATAAAAAAAGCAAATAAAATATAATTAAATAACATGTATAGCTTATATTAATTTGATTTTTTGTTTAATAGACTGAAATATTACTGGATTAACAAGTTTTGTAACTAAAAGTTTAATTGCTATAATGTTTTTTTATTTTGAAAACTAATTATATTCAAATCTACTTTGAAATAGATAATTTTTAAATTTGCTTTTTCTTGATCAAAAAATTTATTTCAATGCATTAATATATTTCTTTAATTTTACTAAAATTCTTGAAATAAAAATAAATAAAGTATAAAGGACTTTGGTAAAAAAAATATTTCTTTCTTTAATTTCAAGAAAATTACTATAAAGAAAAAATTAAAGAAAAATGTTATATATATATAAGTTTTTTTTATAATATAATAAAATTTATTTGTTTTTTTTTATTTTATATTTTTATAAATAAATAATTTTAATATTTATTTATAAAGTTAAAAAAGAAAAAAAAATTTATTATTAAATATATATACAGTATATTAAAAAATTTTAAATTTTAAAAAATATATATTTAATTTAAAAAATATATATTATATTTTTTAAACTTTTTTTAAATATTTTAAATATTTTTTAATATAATTTTTTAAAAAATTTTTTTAATTTTTATTTATTTTAATTTAATTTTAATTATATTAAAATTTTTAAATAATAATAAATAAATAAGTTAAATTGACTAATTATTATGTAGTAAAAAAATATAAAAAATAATAAAATTTTATGTTTTATAATAGAATTTAATAAAAACTATTTATAACAAAAAAATAGATATTGAAATATTTATTTTGCTTAATAAATTTTAATTTTTTTATAATTAAAAATAATTTTATTTAACTTAATAATAGAATTTTTTTTGTTATTAATTATTTTTTTTTTAAATGTTAAGTGAGGCATTTCTCGTGATCTTTATTAATAGAGTAATCGGAATTGAGGTTACATGATTAATATTAAGAT